AGATATTGACTTGTAAGCGGTACTCTTGGCGTAGTGATCAAACATTGACGATAAAACAACGTGTCAATCAATAAACCTTTCTTTGGACCGATTTATTGATCACACATTAAACCAAATAATCGTCACACGTTTATCATTATAGATGCACGTGTATTCGGCTAAATATTGATATTCCTTTGGGCTGACCAATATTCTCATGAATAACACATGCACAAACACCTTTTAATATTCTAAGTTAGTCAATTTCCACAAGAGAGATTGCTTTGGCAACATGTTGCTTCAATTAACCAACTTTCGAATATTATATCTTTTAAAAGAGTCCTTAGTACCAAAATTTGAGAAAGTGAATCACCAATTTTGCATATTTTGATTAGTTTTAAACTTTAGGGGCCTTAGGATTAATAATTCAAAACTTTAAGGGGGCAAAATTAATTAATTCCAAACTTTAGGGGTTGAAATTAATAAACTTGAAACTTTAGGGACCAAAATTAATTAATTCAAAACTGTAGAGGATCAATTAGAACAAATTTTAAAACTTTTGGGGCCAAAATTGACCAATTCAAAACTTTAGGGGATCAAATTTTAAAAATTTGAATCTTTAGGGGTCAATTTGAATTAATTATGAACTTAGGGGGCCAATTTGAATTAATAATTAAATTTTGAGGGCTTTAATTACAAAATTCAGAACTTTAATGGCCCTGAATTAATTTATTTTAAACCTTAGGGACCGAATTATTAAATCCAAAACTTAAAGACCCAAATCTTAATATAACTTAAATGTTAGAGACTGAAACCTTTATTTTATAATCCTAACCCTAATTTCAACTAGGGACCTCAACTTATCTAATTTATAGAGGAAGCCCCCGCCCCCAAAAATTCAGAAATTGAAAAAACCCTAAATATTCTTTCTTTCTTCTCCTTTAGTAGCGCTGCCAGCACAATAGGCCGGCGCCCAAAGCAGTAGCGCCGGGCGCTGCTGCTGTTCTACAGTAGCCGCACTGCTGCGATAGGCCGGCGGCAGTGCTGCCGTTGGCGCTGCCTCCAGGTAGCCTTTTATATATATAATTTTTTTTTCTCAAACTATACAGAAATTTGAATTTCCAAAATCCTAAATCCAAAACCATAACTATAACGTGAATTCTTCTCAATTATTTTAATCCGAATTATGACAAAATAAACAAGAATAGCATACCGAATAGTTTTCAAATTCAACAAAATTAAATTCAAAGCTGTCAAATCTGAAAACTTCATAAAATATTACAAGAACCAAATTAAAACCTTTGATTCTCAATGATTCAACATGAAAAGGCTCTAATACCATTTGTTGGATAATTTAATACTTTAAATCACCGGATCTTTCATGTTAAATCATCAAGAAATTGAAGAATTAAAGCAGAAGCGTACCTGAATCAGATATGGTTAATGCAATAATGAATTTTGCGGTATAGTCTTTCAAATCTACATGCAGTCTCTTTTTCCTCTCTGTGATGTGATCCAGTAGAGAATGAATAATACGTGCGTGTGATCGGGGACCATAACCTATTTATATAGGGACGCCCTTTGATCTAATTCGACCCATCATAGAATTAGGATTTGGGCCCGATCTCTACACATATGTAAACCCACATTTTAATTGGATACATTAAAGCTCAAAATCGAAGCCTTATTAGATCATTTTAATTGGGTTCAACCGAATTCGATAGCCTATAATTTAACACACAATTATTCACACATATAAGTCCATCTATTGATTAAAAAATCCTTACAGTAAATACCAACTATAAGTAAAGTCCCCTACTTGTTCGTTCAATAATGATCCTTCTTCGCCCCTCGGGGCACTTCTCCATTGGCAAAGGACGAGTTCTCTCAAAACTGGCAGATCAGAGGTCGTGGGTTCGATTCTTGGGGCTCTTGGAAGGCAAGGCACATACTGGAAGGCAGGATTTATCCTGGAAGGTAGGAGTGTCTTGGAAGGCAAGGCGCAACATGGATTGGCTCGCTAGGCACTTTGACAGTCCAATTGGAGAGGTGCTCGGACCCTGGTCAGTTGGAGGCACATCCCGCCGTTTAACTGGTCTGTGTGAAGAGGGACCGGATCACATACCCAAGGAATAGTCGTCGAAGGAGGACACCTTGATAAAAAAAAATAATAAATAAAATAATAATAATAATAATGATAATGATCCTTCTTCGTTTAGTTGATAATTTATAGAATATTGAATGTTTCACAGTTTAAACTACGAGTATTCGCTAATAAGTAACATCAATTAATGCCATGTAAATAGGTTACACACCGCTAGTACCAGACAAATCCCTTTATTAGTTGAAGAACGGTAGTGTCCACATTCTTCGAATGTTAAAATAATGAATAATCAAGTTTCAGGGTAAATATTAGGGGACTCAAGACTGGAGTATATGCAGTGCTACTACAAGATTTATGTAATGGAATTCTTACCACAAAAGAAGAAGAAAGAAGAAAACGACGACGACGCCGTGGCATTACAAAAAATATGAATAATTCACTCATAATGAGTCATCAGTAAATAAAAGATGTGGTAATGTTTCGGGAAGATTGTGTGGTTTTAGAAAATCTATCTAAAATATTTTAGGGAAATATCTAGTTCAAAATATGTGGTTTAGAAGTCTCATAAAAATATGTGGTCTAGAAATCTCTAGAAAAATTTGTGGTTTAGAAGTTTTATGTAAACCCTATCTATAAAGAGATAGGGTCTTTCCATAGTGTAGCAAGTCAAGTGTACGAGTTTTGAAGTTGAGAAATACAAGTTTCCTTTTTGTTAACTTACTTCCTTCTATTAGTGTTGTCCTTTCTAAAAGTCTTAGGAAATTCAAATTAGTAAACCTCTTCTTCTATCAAAGCTCTAAAATCCTTGTGAAAAATGACAAGTGGGATGATTCTTTTTAAGTCCCCCAACTGAACAAGAATAACTACGATAATTGGAGCATAAGAATGAAGGCATTTTTCAGATTGCAAGATGTATGGAAGACCGTAGAGAAAGGCTACCTTGAATTGTGGTTAATTTTGGGGGTAAAACGTAACTTTTGGGGGTAAAACGACCGAAATCTTAGAAAATCTTGGGGGTAAAACGTAAAAGGTTGTAATGTGGATAAGACATTGAATTCAAATATAATATAATAGGGTATCATCTCTTTGGATAAAATGGAAGTGCATTAATAAAAAGAGAAGTATGAGACAAAATTTGTTAATTATCATTTCCATCATATCTACAAAATATCTCATTACTGTTGAAAAATATTATGTAAAACAAGCAATTCCTAAAAATGGAAAAGAAAACGAAAAAGTTTCACAAAAAGAAACAAAATAAAGATTTTCTTTTTTAAAGGGGTAAAAAATAAATTCTCTGCTTTCTAAAATATATTCCCTCGTATTATTGTAACTAAACTTGAATGTAAGAAATGAATCGATATTAATAAATAATTGAATCCCTACAAACAACCGGTGAAATAAAAAAGGATACAGTAAGTCCATCGAAATAAATGCCTATCTAATGTAGCAAAGGATGCTACCAAGTGAGCCACTTTTTTTTTTTTTTCCCATCCGTAGGAATAAAATAACACGTGCCACTATCACCACCTTGGAGAAGAGCTACAATATTGAAATGCCCATGAGCAAATGCAATTGCAAATGCGATTAAACACTTCAAACTTAAAGATTTAATAATAAAGTGCAGAAAAATAAAGTTGAACACGAAAAAAAAAATTTGATTGAAGCCCATAGGTTCACTAACCACTTTCAACGCCTAACTATTGAGTATTTATAGAAGTGTATAATGCCCTATATCTTGGAAAACGAAAAAGCTGACTACAATAGCTCAATCAATTATCGAGGTAGTGTCTCTCGAAGGCGACTACATGTGAAATTACTTGGTTTAAGAATGACTTGAAGGACCTAGGAATCAAGCATCTTTTGCCAATTATATTGTCCTATGATAATCAAGTTGTTTTACACATTGCCTCAAATCCAGTCTTCCATGAA